GGGCGTCCTTGTCCGCAATGCCACAAAAGGATAATTTTATAGGCGCCCCTTCAAAAAAGGATTGCAGGGATTAGGAGCAGTTGAAATGTACCAGAAAAAGTTACACAATCAATTACAGATTCGCCTGGCAACGCTAGCTTTCCTTCGTCCTCCAAATCTCCAAATCGATCCATCAATTAACAAACCGCCCACAAAAATACTTAATAGCATTCATTCAACGGACTCGGTCTAAACTCAATGAATTATCCTGCGGGGCGCCTACAAATCGAATAGGGTCAACCCCTTCCCCCCTCCACACTTACCTCGTCAGTCTCGACTCGTCAGGCTGCTAAAATGCGTCAAAAGCGTTTCAAATGAGGCTTTTAATGTATTTGTGATTTTCCATATAACAACAACGAAAACAAAAGCAACAAAATAGGGAAGAAAGAGGAGACCAGCTCCTCCCCTTCCCATTCCCAGTAGTCCTTTCGCGCTCTTTGATTAATTTATTTTTGACGGCCCAGATCCGGATTTGAGTTTGTTATTTTTATTGGTATTGGCATTGTCCACCCACACACCCATGCACACACGCACACCCACAGGCACGCACACACACACACACTCACACTCAAAACATCAATCGGTCATTGGCATTACACTTAGAGAAACTTACGCCCTAGTAGAACTTCATTGCTTCTGCGGAATAGAAAATCAATCTTATTTTCCAACTAGTTAAGTTTTACATCGAGCTCAGGGCATTTTGAAACAGTTTTAAGCCTGAAGACTTATTTTATGCAAATGTAAAATAATATTTCTGATGTTTTAGCATAAGCCGACTTTCCATAAAATGGTTTTATATTACGCATTTGTAATTTATTCTCAATATAAGAACAACATCGACACAAGCTAGTTTTCTTGAAATCTACAAAAGTAATTTTTAATGTAATTTCTGAAAATGTTTAGAAATAATTTAAAAACACAAATGGATTTCTTCTTTTCAGAGGAATTTTCTTACTTTAAGGCATTGAAACAATCGAATAGAGTCCAGAGGTACGATTTTTAAATTACAAAATATTCTTAAACGAAAACATAGAAATAATATTTAATATTTATATTTTAATATTTAATATCGTTCAATCAACAGAAAGTTAGATGTGCTACTTTTTGCAAAATTGTTTTAATAAATAAATAAATTATTTCAGAGGAACAGATATTGGTGTTTAAAAATAATTAATTCAATTTCATTTTTAAATAATTTCTAATTTCTTCAGAATAATAGCTATAAATATTATTGTGTATAGGGCATATTTTTTCTGAGTGTAGCTTCGCCTAATCCGTCCATTTTTAAACGCACTCAGACGAACCCCTTCCCAACCACTCCATCCGTTTGTTCTGCTCGCAGCTTTGTCCTCGTCCAGGACAAGCAGACAAGCCTTCAACAAATTGACGAGATGGGCGAGATGTGCTTCAGTGGTTAATGGAACAGCTAAAAGAGTTAGGGCAGGGGCGAGGGGGAAAAAGGGGGAACGGGGTATATATAACCCGGAGCGATATGGAATTGTTAGCTAGAGCAAAGCGGCGCTTTTGAAAATTCGCTGAGAATTGTTGTGGCATTGGTTTACGAACTGCGTTCAATTGTTGATTCAATCGATTGAGAGTTGTGCGAATATTTTCAGATGTTTTCATTACATGGGGAACAGTACCTTTTAATAGAACAACGGAAATTAATTGACAGTTTGTAAGGAAGGGCTTAAATAAATTGAGGTTAATAGTTTTTAAGCTTATTCTCTACGGATTTGAATTTTACAATCTGTCTGAAATAAATTAAGACTTAGAATTTTGAAATCGCTTCTTTTGCATTATTCATAATTCTTCAGTCACTACATTTATTAGGCAGTTAAACACAAAATATGTAAATATATTAAGTAGAAAAAAGAAATAATCAATTTAAGCTACATTTGCATGAAATTTGTTGCTGTGTGTCACAAATATTTAAACTGAACTGAAAAATACATTTAAAAGAAATCACACACAAAAATCAAGACAAAAATGTGTTGACACGCGAAAAATGCATTTTTGCCAATGAGAATGTCTCAAAACAATTTAATATTTCAGTACAGATCAAAATATATATATTTTTAAATTCATCAACCATCTGCAATCCACAATCCAACTCATGGAATATACAATTGTTGCTGTGTATAAAGTCATTTACAAGAAATATACTTTCCAGTGAGACTCTTTGAGTGTCATTAGCACTGAAACCGGCTAATCTGCCGCACACAAAGCTGGAGCAACTCATTCCCTTTTGCTTTCCCTTTTCATGTTCTTCTCTTGTTGCTCATCTTCAGAGTGTGGTGTGCAACCAACAAGCTGCTAAATTTCGCACGCTGCTCTAGAAAGGTATTTAAGACAGAGAGTTTCAAGATATATTCCTCACAGCAGTCATGTGGAATTTCACACACTCTTGGAAAAGAGCGAGAGAGAAAGAGAGAAAAAACCAAATACAAAGACACAAAAGCGGAAAGGGACAACAAGAGAGAGAGGAGTAAAGCCAAACAAAGATACACACATACATTGATAGATAGATACATAGATAGATATGCGTAAGAAACGGAAAACGTAAGTGTGAATTATCCTGCCTCAAAGTATTTAATGCGTTTTACACATGACAAGAAGGGAAGGGACGGAAAAAAGGAGACCAGAGGAATAGCAACCGTACAGAAACAAACAAAAAAATGCCAGCAATTGAAAGGCATATAATGTTAAAAATAGAAAACCAACAATACCAACCACAAGCAGAGGAGAGGAAAAATAAAAAGCAACTACAACAATATTAAAAGCATTTGATCATTACTCATAAAAACAAACAGCGAATGGGAATAAATAAACAGTTGAGAGAATAACTTGTGGAAAATCGAGATGATGATGATGATGAGGAGCCAACTCTGCTGGCAACAAAATTAATTACTAGACGTGAAAATGCGCTGAAATACATATTATCTAAGGCAATAGACAAGGGGAAGGGGGGTGGTTGGGGAGAGTGGGATGGTCAGGGGCATGCTCGTTTTCGGCTATTGGAATTGTAAGCATTAAGCAGGCATTACAAATTGCATCAAACTGAAAAACTGGTTTTAAACGAAGAAAGGCGAGAACGAAAGCAAACAAGAGACAAAGTGCAGAGGAGAAAGAGAGAAAGACAGTGCTAAGTAATCATTATTTTACCTGTTCTAAGACTACATACACAACTACAACAACAAGTCCACAACTGGCAGGCAGGTAGATCTGCAAGCGACCCGCACACAGGGTGACTCCGAGTCTCGAGACTCCCTGCTGTTTACAATGGTGGTTGAAATTAATTCCACAACAGGATATTCAGCTTGTAGTTGTGCTTCTTCGTCTTCGTCTCCGTCTTCTCTTTTTTTTTTTTTGAGCTGCCCAAAGAGCAGAGCAAATTGTGCATAGATTTCAAATGAAGACATAAAAAAACAACAGCAACAAGAAGCAGTTGACCTATTTGAAGAGTGCTGTGAAGTTCTTATGAAATACCAAATATCAAGTAACGGATTGTGCTACAACTACTAACCTTAGATAACAACAGAACGATCGCAATAATATAAAGTGATGTCAAGTGCCAAAACACCCTGTAATGCTTTATATTAAATATATTGCTTGACTTTTGAATGTTTTTTTTTAATGAACTGTTCTTGAAATTTTCTTAATTTCCTTACTAATTCTGATAAGGTGATAAAAAAAATGGTATTTTTGATTAAAATTTCATTTCTACCCATTGCATATATATGAAAATATTAACATAAAAAGTATGAAAAAAAACTACGCATCACAAATGTTTCACACAAAAATAAATCATATTAAAAATATTTGTCATCTATATTTTCAAGGCACTCAGTCCATTAAAAATTAGAAGAGACCAAAAATAATTTTCTAATGATCACAAGGATAATAAATCTCCTTCCAATTCCTGACATATTTTTTTACTACCAAAAATCGTTCCTATATCTTACAATAATTTCGGGAGTACAAAAACTGAAATTGTCTTTACAATTTATTTTTACCATGAGCCACAGTTCAAATTCTTTATTTAATTTTATTTTTCAGAAACTCAAATTAGTCTTCAACTAATAAGCAAAGACTATATAGTTAAGTCTATATATCTGTAATGTCATGACCAACATCAAAATCCAACCAAATGAATCACAAAGTCGGTTTGAATTCTTCATCAATTTTGAAGAATTTTGCCAAAATATTTTGGACATTATGACAACAAAATGACAATAGTATATTTTTGGCGAAAATATAAAATTAAATGCATTGATTTTTTAGTGCATTAAATAAAGAAAATTTCATAATAAACTTTTAATTTTGAAATTTTCTTTTAAAATAAACTTTCACTTTTAAAAAACTGAGCAATCTGAGAACTAAGTTTTCAATTTAATAAGTAATAGCTCATATCTCTAGCTCATATCATAGTAATCATTTCTAACTTAAATAAATATATATGAACACTTTTGGTAGCTGGCTTCAAGAATACTTTTTCAACATTTATAGAAAACTGAAATCTCTCAAAACACCGACGGAATTCTATGGAGATTCGCAAGCTTCTCTGGATATACATATGTGTATCCTTAGGTTTAATTCTTATGATATCCATTTTAATTTTAAAAAATATTTTTAATTTTAATTTAAAAACAAAAATCAAAATAAAAAAATAATAACTTTTTTTGTTAATAAATTTAAAACGAGGTATTTCTCAGTGTCGACTGATTTTAGCCGACTTTAAATTATTAAATAAATAAAACATGTATTTCTATTTTTATCTGTCGTATTATTATGGACGATGAAGAAGTTTATTTAATAATTCATAATTGTGGACATTATATAACTAACTAAATAAAATAAATAATAACTTATTTATTTTAAAAATATTTAACATTTAGAATTTGTCTGTGTTGACTGATTTTAGTTGACATTAAAAAATGAAGAGTTCTTTCTCTGCTCACCTTGCCGCCCACTTTCAGCTCGTAGCCCATGCCGAGGGGCGTCTTCAGCTGGACGGGACACACGAATCCTATATTCCGATGGGGACTATCCACGCTGATCTGATGCTTTCGCGATGTCACCTTGGGCACTGGGCGAATGGGCGCCGCCGGAGTCGAGGAGGAGGACCCGGAGGAGGTGGTGTTCTCAGCGACGCAAAGATCCTCGCCACCATGGATGGGGAATTTGGAGCACTCGAGATTCTCGGGCCAGTTGAAATTGTAGGTTTTCATCAGAGTCTCGCAGACCCGGGCCGATTCGCAGAGGGAGCGGCAGGGGGGAATCGGACGTTCAAGGATGGTGCAGACGGGGACGTACAAGGAGCAGAGGAACAACTGCAGATCGGCGCTGCAACCGATCTTGACGAGAGGCGCAAACTGATGCACCTCCAGGCCCGCTTCCTCCTGCTTGGTGTGGCCAATCAAATTGGGCATTATCGTCATATTGTACGGAATATTCTTGCAGATCGAGATCGTGATTGGCTCACAGCGATTGTGATGTGGAAACCCATCCAAGGAGGAGGAACTCGGAGCCAATTCGCTGCGATAATAGGAGCTGGCGTCCAGCGGCGTCTGATCGTAACGCTGCTGTGCTCCATGCCCCAATGTGGCAAGTACAACAAGCAGCAGCAGTTGCAACATTTTTCGATTGTTATGCGATACAAACTCTTATATATATATTTATTTTTTTTTGTTTGAAGAAAACTCGGCTTTAATTTGAGTAAGTTGCTTTTAAGACTTTTTTGTTTACAGTTCACGCATTTTGACACACACAACACACACACACACGCACACTGGCACAAGAGACAAACACAAATAATGTTTGCAGCTCTCACAAAAGAAACGCGTCGGCTTTTTTCACATAGCACAAAAATATATATTTTTAACAGAGATTTTTATTCAATTTTAAATTTTTCAATTTCAATTTTACTCTGCATTTATCACTTCTTGAGCACTTTTGGGGCTTTTGTTTTACCGGCTGAGCGACGGACAGCAAAAGTACCGTTTTGTAGCCGAACTACGTAAAACGCGCGAAATTTGCGAGTAATCTGCACTTTGTACTAATTCAAATATTCAACCGAGAGCACAACCGAGCGGCAAGGCAGACGCTGACAAACTAACCATTGCACACGAGACGGAGCCATGTGTGGGCAGCGGTGGGAGAGAGAACAGGTTCGTTGCTGCTAGTGGTTGTGGTGGGCGAGAGCGAGAGCGACGTTGAGCCGAACATGAACAGCCATCACGTCGCATCGTCACTTGTTTGCATTGCTTGTGCTCAGTTGCTGAATATGTGCTCTCAGCCGCGCCAGCCCTCTCTATCTCTCTCTCTCTATTCAGCAGTATGTGTTGCATGGGGCGACCTTGAATTTGAATTTGACGCTCAATGCAGTTGAAGCGCGAGAGCGAGAGCCATAAAGAGCGCCAACTTAGACAGGGCTGTTATTCGCAATGTTTTGGATGCTGTTGTGGCTGCGGCGTCAGCGGCGACGTCGACTGTGGTTGTGGCTGCGGTTGCGGCTGCGGCAGCAGCTGCTTGAGCTCCTGTTGATTGAGTTAAGTCTCCAAAAGTATCAACAAATGGCTGGGCATTAATTAAAAATTTAAATAATATGCAGATTTTGTGCTGTGAATTACTAGCTTAATATATTTATTTATCTTGAAGACATTTTTATTGAACTAATTTAAATAATGCTCAGTTAGCTTCCGTTCACAATTCCCATTCTCACAGTTAACAGTTATAAATGTTAATGCATTTACTTTCATTGCAAAAAATACGAGCAAAGAGAACAAGAGCAAAAAAAGCCTACTCAAAGCGCAGTGAACTCAGATTGATGAGCTTTCCTAATTGTACAGTTAAACGCATAGAGTTGTTTGCTCGACAATTAGCCGAGCCTAATGCGACACACTTATCTGTGTGTGTCTGTCTCTATCTCCCTCTATTTATTCGCATTTCTTTTCATTCGAGTCATCCAGTTTTTTTGACTTTGCCTTTCTTTTGCCTACTCTTCAACTTGATAAAGTAATTAACTGCGTTTAATCTACGCTTAGCGTGAGCTGAAAAAAAAAACAGAACTCAAACAAACTTGGCATTTTCGAGGCGTTTCTCTAATGACCCTCAGGGTGTGGGGTGGGAAGAGGTGGAGCAGCCAATAAACTTGTTATATTGACAATAATGATGACATTAGAGGAAGCTTTGTCTTCATCACCTGCATATCCCCCTCTCCCCACTCCCATCTTCCTTTTGCACAGAATGCAGCCGCTCAAAGTTTAACATATTTTCCATGCACACACACACACTCACACAACACACGCACACACATACATACACATACTCATTTATTTATGTTAGCTTTCAAAGCATGCTTTTGTTCCTTTTTCCCCTCTATGTTTAGTTAGTCTCTCTCTCACACTATCTGTGCTGTGCTCTCTCTCTCTGCCTATCTATCATGTGGGCTGTAAACAAGTGTTACCGGTTTAGCCGGCGTTCTTTCTCAGCCGCTTTGCCTTCTCCTCTTTGCCCTCTACTTCGTCGTCTTCGTCGGCTTGTTTAATAAAAAGCGCCAAAGTTGAGCAGCATAAAAACGATTTTTCTTTTTTGTTTTGTTCATTGTTGCTGTTCATCGACGTCGACGTAGACGGCGCAGCGGCGTCTTTGCAGTTGCCTTTTTGTTTGGCGCTCATTTTGTGTTTACAAGTGAACGAACTTTGACGCCGCAGCTCAGCTCAGCTTCAGCTCACTCCCTCCCCCTCATCCGCTACCTCTGCTCCAACACACCGTGTACTGTTAGAAAGTGTTTGTTGTTGTCCGCGTGTCTTTTAAAATATGTTTCGTTTGTAATTCTATGCAATTAAAATGAACTGGCTTCGAAAAATAAACATGAGAAGCGCGTTGAAATTAAAGACGAAAGCAGACAGCGAAAGTAAAATTGAATAATTCTCCTCAAATTACTAGTTACAATGGACCATAATAAGCAGCAGTGTAAGTGATGATAGTTAATAGTTCTGGAAATGCTTCCATGACAACAATGAGATTTTTTTATGCATACTCACATTTTGTTATTAGATACCTGAAACTTAATTACTTTTCGAAGTAAACTGATATTTAAGTTTATTATAGTTTATTATATTCGAATACACTTAGTAAAGGAACATTTGAAATAAATTCATGGAAGGAAAGTGATAAAAAAAAACAATTTTATTTTTTTAATATTCGAGAGAATTTTCTACATTCTAGAAGGTGGGTCAATATATTCACAATTTCTTTAAAATAAATAAAATCAGCCCAAATTTGTATAAATTAAGAAAGATGTTTGTTTTCCTCGCATTAAGCACAACATTTATTATACAAGTAAACAAAAAATATACACTTTGCAGAAACTTTAATACACAAGCGAAAAAACTTATTCAAAATTGTACATTTTGCAGAAACAAGTGAAATAACTTATACGAAAGTATTCATTTTGCAGAAACTTAAAAACAAACAGGAAAAATAAATTATTTAAACGAATATTTGTACGTATTTCTACGCAAAACAGAATCTTAAAATCTATTTCCATATACCATAAACAAGATGAGTTATTTTTTCCATTTTTTATTGAGAATTAATAGCTGTTCTTTCACGTTCTGATTTTCCACATTTCCGCAGCTTTCCACAGCGTATCTGTGAACTCATAACTGTTTTTATCACCCTTTTTACTTAGCCTTAGCTGCATTTTTTGCATCAGTGCTGCTCCCCCAATACTCCATTTGCTTCAGATCCATAAATTATGCGCCCCAAGCTCCTTTTAGCAAAAAATATAATCAGAAATACAACCTCATTTGTAGATACCAAATACAAAAATCAATTCACATAATTTTGGACATGTTACGCTTGTTTTCCTTCTCTTCAAGCTACCCCACAAAAACAAAATAAATAAACAAGCTGCTGAACATGGCGTCCAAATTAGGAAGGCTTTGGGGGGAATTGGGATGAGTTGAAATGTTTGTGCTTGGTTTTTGGAGAGACTTAATGCTAAAGGGACACGGCCCTAAGCCAAAAGGGGTTTTTGAGCCATAGAAAACTACAAGTATTTACATTTAACTCGGACCCATACCCAGCTCGTAAGTAAATCCATTTCTTAACAACCCCAGCCTGGCTGGCTTTGCGTCTTAGGTCACATTAGATGACCAATTTTGTTACCCTTGCGCAAAAGTCACGTGGCAAACGTTACTTTCACCACCCGCTCCCAGCCTAACTCGAAAACTAAACCCATTTGAAATGTCAACTGGAGAAAGCCTCAGCTTCAACTTCAACTTCAGCCGCAGTCGCAGTCGCAGCCAACAACAACAAACTAATTAGTTGTAAAAGCTTTGCATTTCGTCTTATTTCCACACCGCGGGGCTTTTGTTGTTTACGCTCTCGTAGGCTGTCCAAGGATTGCGGGGTGTGGCTTCGTTGCAAGGCTTTGCAGATAGCCCTCTGCCGTGCTGCTGTTGATTAAAAGTTTACATTATGTCTGTGTGCCTGGGCCATTTTTACAGCTCATTTGTTGCTATTTCCGCAATCACAAACTCAGCCGCCCCGACACCACTCAACTAAAACTGCCCCCGGCCCCCAACCAAGAATAAATATACCAATATCAAGTTGGCGAGGCTTTTGGCATCGGCGGAAGCTACTCATAAATAATGCATTATTTACTTAAAACAGCCAGCGGCAAAAAGCTCAATTAAATTTTTGAAAAATGACCAACAACTCTGACCTGACCAGAGAGGTACAACTGCCACAGCAGGATGCAGGGTACGGGGTGGAGGGGGCGTGGCAAGGAGGTGGCCAGCTGTCAGTACATTGCATTGAATGGCGCCATCAATCAAAGTGAGCCCCAAAAATGTCCATCAAACTAGGCTCGTTACAAGCAGCCACTCGCATTGTATGTAACTCAAAACAACATGGAAAAACTCAATCCGCGTTGATAGCTGAACTCAGATACCCTTTAGAAATCACATTTCCAGCTATAAAGTATTCAAAAAGATTCAAGCATTATTTATTTAAATTTAAACCAAAAAGGGAACTTTCTCAAATTGCCTGATTCCGCTTACAACATTTCTTACATTCTTCAAAATACATTTTCCCATTTCTATTCTACATTAAATATTTGGAAAGTATTTTGCAAATTGCTGCAAATTCGCCTCGAGCAATTCGTGTTTTTTGATGATATATCGAATTGAAATTTCTATGAAATGTGTATCATTTCCAGCTTGGTTTGTTTGTTTTCCTTTCTCGATACCTAAATTTCCAATCTGAAGGTTTTACTCGGAAGTTATTCATTTGCATCTATAAAATACATTTGCCATTTAATTATTTTGATTTAGTTTTCTTAATTTATTATCATTTGATGCTCATGGCAAAATACAAATGAAATCTTATTTAATTCTCAAACTTTTTCCTTATCTTCTATCTTATATTAATATTGAGACTGTGAATGTTAAAAATGTTGGGTTTATTGGAATCTGGCTATAATTTAATTTACATTCTTAATTATTTATGTATTTAAAGAAAAATAAACTAATGCTTTGATGAGCTATGCAAAGAATACTTTTATGGAAAGCATTATGTTTTTACCATGATTTAAAAATAAACCTTATATTAAGTTTAGACTTAAATCTAGATTAGATGAAATGCCAATAAATACAATTGAGTTGTTAATAATTACAATTTGTGGAACTTTGCCCCGATATTACTGGGGAAAGCATTAAACAAAGATTAAATAGAGGCTTAAGTATATTTTAAATTGCTTAAACTAAGTGTTAGTGCCAAGAGAATTCTTAATGCGCTAAACTGATGCTCGAGGGTTACACAGTGCATAACGAATTTATGCTTGCACCTGCCGGACTCTAAATAATTGCATTTGAAAT